CTTCTTTTTCAATCAAACTTCACGACTAAAGCTAAAAATATTAATTTTCCTTCATAATGGCAACTGAAACTACATTTTCTCAAAATTGACGACTAAAGCAACATTTTTTTAAACATGGCGACTAAAACCACTTTTCCTCAAAATTGGCAACTAAGGTTGAAATGACACTATTCCTTTCAAAATAATAGCTAAAGCAAAAATTGGACAAAAAAAAAAACACTTTTTTCAATAAATAATCAATCAATTCTCTCCTATTTCGTAGTGAGAAGAACTACCTTGTACTAATTCTTATTTATTGGGATAAGCAAGCAGATTCGATTTTAAAACTCGAGCTACAAACCAAATCTGCCAACCCCTTTTCCTCTCCTTGTTTCATTCTTTGTTTTGATTTGCTTGTTTTATGTGATTGGATGGGAGATATGTGATTATGGTAGAATCCCCATAAAGGACTAGAGCTAATAGTCCTTCTTTTGATGTTTGATTGCTTGTTATTTGCTTTTTTTTTTTTTCATGCTTTCTTCACTTGCATCCTTTACTTACTTTCTTTGCTTTTGATTGGGAAAAACATAGCCATCTAGAAATTCCCAAAAGGGCTAAAGATGACACTTCCTTTGTTAATTCATTGGTTGCTTTATTTAACGCTCTCTATTCTTGTTTTCCTTGCTTTTGATTGGAAGATGTGTGGCCATTCTAAAATCCTCGATACGGGACGAGAAATGACACTCCCTTTTATTGATTTATTCTTTTATTACTTGCTTTCCTTTTATGCTTTCCTTAATACTTTCCTTTACTTGATTTATACAATTGTCATACCGTTCTTCATCTTAAATTTGTTTTCATTTGACAAAGCATTAAATTTTAAACCAATTATTTGATCATTTTAAATTGAATACCCAGTTCCCAAGTCCTCTTTGGTTTCAATGTTTAGTACATTTTATCTACTTTGGACTAATGTCCAGCGTCAAAATTAGAATTTTCCTTAGATTTCCCTTTAAACAAAAAATGTATGTTACTCCTTTCAAAAAGAAGCAATCAGATTAAATAGACTTTCACACCGTCAACTCAACTCAAAATTAGTGTTCTGATCCCAAATTTAACGGACTAGACTTAGCACTTGGGTTGAAGCCTCACAATATAACAATCTATTTTTTTTAAAAAAATAAAGGTAAAGTACTTTTTTTTTTTTAAATTAGGGGTATGGTTATAATTTTTCCTTTCCAGAAGTTTGATCTTTTATGTAGTGCTAATTTAACCTTCCTGTTAGAAATTGTTTGTCGATATTTTAGAGGTTCATAATCCTTGAGGGGGAAAATATTTTGGTTTACCTTCTCTTATTGGTATTAAGAAGAAACATATTTTTGGCTTTTTAAAAGACAAATTATGGCACCATATTAATTGTGGAGAAATAAATTTCTTTCTCATGCTGGGAAGAAGTTTTTACTTAAATTATTGCTAAGACTTTGCCTTCATACTGCATGAGTATTTTTTTATTGTCTTTATTTGTTTGCACTGCTTTACATGAGATCATAAATAAATTTTTATGGGGTTTGAAGAGAGGAGGGATAGAAGTATTTATTGGTTGTCTCGGGATCATATGTGTTTTAATAAAAGATACAAAGGTACGAGTTTTCAGAATTGACACAACTTTAATGTAGCTATACTAGGAAAACAAGGTTGAAGGTTAATCGCTACTAATTATTCTCTTTTAATAGAATTATCAAAGCTAAATATTTTCCAATAGGGAGGCTACTGTGACATCTCAACCCGGCAAAGCGATCCTAGGATGGCAGGCTAGCTAGGGTAGTGGAATGCGGGACACAGGAATGAATCGAATCATATATCGAAAAAGTCATTTTTTATTGTCTTCTAATTTGTTTGCGCACTGCTTTACATGAAGAACTCATAAATACAAATTTTTATGGCGTTTTGAAGAGAGGAGGATAAGACAGTATTCATTGTTCGTCTCGGCGATTCATATGTGTTTTTAATAAACAGATACAAAGGTCACGAGTCTTTCGCAATTGACACAACTTTAATCGCTAGCTATACTAGGCACAAACAAGCGTTGAAAGGTTAATCGCTTACTAACTCTATTCTCTTTTAATAGAATTACTCAAAGCTTAAATCAATTTTCCAATCAGGAGGGCTACTGCTGACATCTCACACCCGGCAAAGCGATCCTAGGATGGCAGCTACTAGCGGTTCTAGTGGGAATGCGGGACACAGGAAATGAATCGAATTCCATAATCGAAAAGGGGGAAACTTAATCATTAGAGGCGCAAAAGGGGAAAACTAATCATTAGAGGCGCCTTTTGGTGGAATGGCTGGACAGTTGGAAGAACTCCAGGGTTAAGCGTGCTCGCTTAACAGAAATCTCAGGATGGGTTACCTCTTGGGAAGTTTTCCATTTCACTTGCGGGACAAAACCGTGAGGGCGGGTGTATATGTTGGCCGGATTAGGCCGGGCACAACCCCGTGGCCAAAGCGGACAATTCCTTTAGTGATTAGAGTCGAGCGTGACATAGCACCACTGAGTCTTCCACTCAGCCCGTTGATTTTATCACGCGCAGGTTAGGAGCGGAGGATGTTTTTCAAGAACTAGGGAGTAGCATCAGAGTAGATATAACATTTTGGGTAGAATATTTTGTAAATGGTGATTTTTGGTATGTATATAAAATATTGTGTTATGGAGGTTGTATAGGACACCAGGAATGAATCGAATCATATACTCGAAAAAGCGCGGGGAAACCTAATCCATCTAGCAGGCCGCCTATTTGGTGCGAAATGGCTGGAGAGCTTGGAATAAGACACTCCAGGCGTCGGGTTAACGGCACTGCTCCCTTAACAGAAATTCTAGGACTGGGCTGACCTTCCTAGGCAACGGTTTCCCATTTCACCTTGCGGACAAAAAACCCGTGAGGCCGCGGCGTATGTGTTTGGCCGGAATAGGCCAGGCAACAACCCCCGTGGCCCCAAACGCGCGACAATCCCTCTAGCTGATTAGAGTCGGCGACGTGCACAGCCCTACCCTACTAGAAGTAGCAACCCAAGTACATGGAGTGTGTTGTTTCTATACGGACACGGTTAGTACTAGGAGCTTGCGTCATTTGGTCGCAACGCATCAGCCAAAAGGGTTGACGAATATTGTTGCTTTGTCGGTGCATCATATCGGGATTCCCAAATATTGGTTCATTTTTGATGGACATGACTGGCGCTTTTTGGAGTTAGGCGATCTTAACCTGGAGAGTTGGAAGAACTCCAGGGTTAAGCATGCTCGCTTAACAGAAATTCTAGGATGGGTGACCTCCTAGGAAGTTTCCCATTTCACTTGCGGGACAAAACCGTGAGGCCGGGTGTATGTGTTGGCCGGATTAGGCCAGGGCACAACCCCGTGGCCAAAGCGGACAATTCCTCTAGTGATTAGAGTCGGGACGTGACAGCTACTCTAGGAAGTAACCCAAGTTTTACATGGAGTGTGTTGTTTTATAGGAGTTGTTAGAAGTTGGTATTGGTGCTAAGATAGCAATGGTGAGAATATTGTTGTTTGTCGTGATCTATGGATTCCCAAATATGGTTCATTTTTGAGTGAATGATGGGTTTGAGTTAGGGATTTAATGGGAGTAGATGGCAACGAATGGGATGTTAGTGAACTCATAGAACATTTTGCTATGGGATATATTAGAGTAATCCTTAACACTCCTCTTAGTTTACATCAAAGAGAGGGTAAATCAATATGGCACTATAATAAAAAGGGTGTATATACTATTAAAAGTGTTTATTATCTGTCTTTAAAGATATCTAATAGACTAAGGAAAAGGGAGGAAGGAGACTATTACATAGCTTATGGTATTTGGATATTCCCCTTAAGGATAAGGAATTTTTATGAAGAGCTTTAAGAAGAAATTTATTAACAGAATCTAATTTTGTTAATAGAGGTATGGAGATAGATATTGCTTATATCTTTTGTGCGGATGTGGAAGATGTGGACCATTTCCTTGTTAGATGTGATAAGGTGATGTAGGTTTGGAGGGATTTAGAGTTTTTTTTTTTAACTAATGCTACATTTAAAGATTACTTTTTGCAGGTTAAGGTTAGTCTATCTCAGGAGCATGTTGAGAAATTTATTGTGTATGATTGGAAGATTTGGTCATCTTGGAATCTATTTATATGGCAAGGCATTTCGCATTCTTATTTGGAAGTGCAACATCTGTACTGCATGGTCTTTATGAATGGAGGTCTTTGTCCTCGTTACCTTATCGTACAATGCAACGCCATGCATTCCCACCCATGTTTCATCCTTTTGTCCAAGCAAGTTGGCATGGATTTGTTGATGGAGCATTATTTTCACAATTAGATTTTGTTGAATTTGTTGATGTAATAGAAGATTTGGAGGGTAGTTTTCTCATTGCCATTTCAAGTCATTACATAGGCTCCAGTGACATTGCTTTAAATAAAAACATGGCTCTTTGTTCTTGCTTACAATGGATAGAAACACATTTATTTGACCTAGGTTGTGTGTTTATCGAACTCTTAAATTCTTGTTTATGTTTTGAGCTCAAGTGTTGTGATAACTTAAAGTTTGGTTGTGTTCTTATAGATTATAAAACCATTTTAAATTTTAAGGTTAATATCTTTATTAGAAAGATTAAGAGACAATTTAATACGATAATTCATTCATTAGCAAGGGTTTCGTATAGATGTGATCACTCTCTAGATTTTAAATGTAGTATCAAACTTTATTTCTCCTTCGTATGGCTTTGTATGGTATGGAATGCAGCATTTTCATTTTTTCTAAAGAAAAAAGAAAGAAAAGAAAAGAAAATCAATTAAATAGTTTTTATTAGTTAAAACATTAAAATTAAATAGTTTTGTATCATTTGTAAATATTTAAAAATATTTTTAGTCTATTTGAGAAATAATTGAGGTAAATTGATCCATCCAGTGAAGCTTGAGTGTTAAATCGATGAAAAACGTCTTTTAATGAAAGTAAATATCTCAGATAAGTTGAGGGGAAAGTAACTCTATGGACACGTACAATCCCAAAATCGTACTCCATCCAAACAGTCCCAAAATCAAAGTGCCAAAAACCTATCACGGCTCAGTTGCATCGCTTCCAACGAGCCAACTGTAATAACAATGCAGAGACTATGCACGAAGTTCCGCTCTTTGGCCGGGCGGTCGATCAAAACAGTGCCCGCCCTCTCCTTTTCTAGTCGCCTCATTCATTCTTGTCCACAACTTCAGCGACCTCTTCTTTTCGCATCTGCTTCGCATAAGTGGAACCTTAGCATTCCACTATTTAACGTATCTTCACAGAGTTCGTTTCAGTCCCCTTCGCAGGCTTTTCAATCGCCACAACGTTCTTCTGCAATCCTTCCGTCAGTAAGTTTCTGGGTTTCTTCTGTTTTTTCTTTTAAACGGTAGATTGCATTCTTGTTTGTTCATTGTCTGTATGGTGTATGTGGAAATGTCACAAAGAAATTTATTTCAAATTTCATTTTTTTTTGGGTTAAATCTTGTGTTCATCACATTGAAACTGATTCTTGATCAAGTTAAATTGACATTATATATTACCATTTGGCATACCCTAGTTGACATTATCAAACTTCTATTCTTTACATGTTAATTTTTCCTTCTTTCTTATTCTGCTTATGCTTCAAAGTAAAGAACTGAAAATTTATTTGAATTTTAATGTAAAGCTATCTGTAAAACTAGGAATTAGACCTGGGGAATTTTTAAAGGCTTTCTCAAGGGCACCTGTTTGTTTATTAGGTTGCTATGAATGAGAGAGATATCTTGAAATTTTGAGCTCAATAAAAATCCAATAGCAAGATTTCTTTACCCTTCTATGCATCTGATTTTCATTTAACATTGAATTGAGGCGAAATAAATAAATTCGTCCCTTCACTTCACAAAAATCCTTGTGGCACCCTCTATTTTTACTTTGATACATTGAACACTTCAACTTATAAAATTACACCTATTAAATACTTCAACTAGTAAAATTTGACCGATTAAACACTTAGAAAAATGTGAAAATTATTGTTCCAAAAGTTATATTAACCACATACCAAATCAATATTTTGCATAAAAAAGCTAAAAACTTTAAAAATTGTTGTTGCTAGTATGGAGAAGTGTGCAATATTATCAAAATGCTTAACTTTAGGGGCATATGATTGATCAATGCAAAAGTTTGGGTGTTACAAGGTTTTTTATGAAAAGTACATAAATGAATTTAATATATTTGACCTTGAATTTGAAGTACCTTCCTTTCTGGCATATATCAATTTTTTTTTTGTTCATAAGATGATTGAATTACTTGATGTGAACTTAGTTGGTGCATGTCCGTCATGTTTCGTCAAGGGAGCGACGGAAGAGGAGGAAGCCAATGACACCAGTAACCTCCAAAGTCAAGAAAATCAAAATGAAGTCTTATTCGTAGGTTTCATTAGTATAGTTGTTCTCTTTTTTTCTCTGTAATTTTTTTTTTATATTTGCTGGATTATTTGTTTCTAAATTGCACTGTCAGGTCCTACAAGTCCAGATTTCGGACATTGAGCGACGGGAGCATTCGTCGTTGGAGAGAGGGCAAGAATCATAATGCGCACTTGAAGGTATGCCTTTTCTTTATTCAATGGATAGTGTGAAATAAGTTGAGCTTTTGCTACATATATCACATGAATAAATAAAAGGGAATTTCCCGGTTTCTTTGTTTTTGAAGTGTGAGCTAATTCTTCTTTGCATGCCATAAAGTTGCTGTGATGTTTCAGATAGGATGGAAACAGCTGCTCAACTACCCTTCCTATATTAATCAAAATTTACATTGACATGACATGATGTCTTCCATTATGTTGATAACGAGAGTAAGGTTTCATTTGGTAAAAATTAGATGCTAACAAATTTAAGAACTGACTAATTAATATGAATAAATCAAGTAGCTGAATGGTAATTGAATTTGTAAGTGCTGAAATTCAAAACAAGGGTAAAAAAAGTTAAATTAATTGATTATATTTGCAGTAACGATGATAATTGTGGTAGTAATTGCTAGAAATAGAGGTATAGACATTAACTTAGGTGGTAGCTATAGCATGTGATGGTAGTGATTGGTTGATAGTCGTGGTAATATGTACTAAATAATACCCATGGTATTCATGATGGTGGTGTTGGGCTGGTGTGGTTTGAGCAATTGTAGCGGTAACAAATGCTTGTTGTTGTGGTAGGTGCAATCTGGTGTTAATATTAGTGGTAATGGGTAGTGGTGGTAATGTTGACAATTATGGTCAAGAGTGATGGTTGTGGTGGTAGTGTAGTGGTAATGAACAAAAAACATGGAGGTAGATGTAGGGATGATCAAATGATCCAATTTGGTGGATGTCCGATCCACACTGTATGGAGCGTATAAAATCTGATCCATTTAGTGGTGGATCGAATGTGGATTTTGAAATAAATCCAATGCGGATATGAATATAGCATAATCCAATCCGAATCCGATCTGTGAAAAATAATTTTGCCTTTTTCTTATATTTCTAAATTATTGACTGTAATTTTAAATATGCAATTGCCTTTATTGTTCTCTTCCTTCTCTATTTTCCATTAATATTTTAAATCATTATTATACTCTTTCACCCTTTTTGTACTTTTTTAATTGCTACATCAAACAAAAGAATATAGTTGAATATTATAGCCAATAGCCTAGATCTTTTTCAGCTTAACAATTATTAGAGTCTTTTCTAGTTGTCATAGCGTATAATATTTCCAATTATTGTTAAGAATATTTGTGTTTTCAAACATAATAAATAATATGAAGTTTTAGTAAATTATTACTTTTTTTTCAAACATAATAAAAAAATGGATAATATCCAATTTGATCCGACATCCGATCCGATTCAAATTCGAGCGGAGCGGATATGGATATAGATATGTGCAAATCTTCGCGGATCCGAGATGAATTTTACATAATTTAATCCAAATCGAATCCATGATCGTCCCTAGGCTGATTTGCTGATGATAATGGAAATTGTGGTGGCAACCAAGTGGTGATAGATGTGAAAGAACTCTCAAATGCTATTGTATTTTTTCTGTGTTTCATATACAGCAGAAGCAGAGAATTTATACAAGAATTTCAACTGAAATTCCTACGTACTAGGTTGCACCTTAAATTGAAAGATTACAAAATCAAAGACTAAGTTCAAATACAAAGAATCAAAGACTAAGTTCAAATACAAAGAATATTTGAAATATAATTCTGTTAATATATCACCTAATCCTTTTGGCCAGTAAATATCCTGTTACTTTGCTAATACCCCCCCAGGAGCTGATGGTGCAGAGGAACGAAGCCGAAGCTTGTCACGATGTTGCTCAAACAAAGAACGTGATAATGGTTTTGTAAAGAGATCTACAATTTGATCAGCAGAGCTAATAAATCGAATTGTTACCGCTTTTCTTGCAACTTGCTCCCTGACAAAATGGTAATCAAGCTCGATATGCTTGGTGCGAGCATGGAACACGGGATTTGCACTGAGATAAATTGCACCAACATTGTCACACCATGAAACAGCTGGTGATGTGAGAGGTAAACCAAGTTCAGTTAATAAACTATTGAGCCATAAAATTTCAGCCACGGTATTCGCAATAGCTTTATACTCACTTTCTGTAGAAGACCGAGCAATTGTTGGTTGTTTCTTGGCCATCCACGAAATTAGATTTCGACCCATGAAAATTGCAAAATCACCTGTGGATCGTCGATCATCGGGATCACCACCCCAATCACTATCAGAATAACATTGCAATTGTAAATTAGAGTCCTTAGTAAGAAACAAACCATCCGAAGAGGTATACTGCAAGTATCGAAGAAGTCGTTTCATGGCTTTCCAGTGATCCTCTGTAGGACAATGCATAAATTGACAAAGTTTGTTCATAGAGAATGTAATATCGGGTCATGTCAATGTCAAATATTGGAGACTACCAGCAATCTGTCTGTACAATTTGGGATTATCAAAAGCAAGACCATTCGACTTTGCCAATGGAGGACTAGTGGCCATAGGAGTGAAGCAAGGCTTACAAGTATCCATGTTAGCAATCTTTAAAACGTCAAGAATATACTTGTGCTGAAACAACAATATTCCAGTGGCTAAAGTCTTAACTTCAATGCCAAGAAAATAATGAAGGGGGCCTAAATCACGAACAGGAAATACCTTCTGTATATGACCAAGAAACCATTGTAATTGAGAGTCATGAGATGCAATAACCAATATGTCATCAACGTACACCAGTATGTAAATTGTTTGAGAACCATTACAAAGAACAAATAATGATGTATCTGCCTTTGAAGATTGAAAACCAAGTTCAAGAAGAAAAGTAGCCAATCGATGAAACCATGCCCTTGGAGCTTGCTTTAAACCATATAAGGATCTCTGCAATCTACAAACATAATCTGGGTGAGTACTATCCACAGATCCTTGTGGTTGAGACATATATATTTCATGCTCCAAAAAACCATGAAGAAATGCATTTGAAACATCAAGTTGTCTAGTAGGCCAATTACGTATTACAGACAAAAGAAATGCAATTTTGAAAACATGCAAGTTGTCTCAGTAGGTCCAAATTACGTATTACAGACAACTGATAAATACAGGTACGATTTGGTAGTCCATTCTTGAACTACTGGATCTGAATGGTTTTCTGTAATCCTTGTGGTTGAGACATATATATTTCATGCTCCAAAAAACCATGAAGAAATGCATTTGAAACATCAAGTTGTCTAGTAGGCCAATTACGTATTACAGACAACGATAAAACAGTACGAATGGTAGTCATCTTGACTACTGGACTGAATGTTTCTGTAAAATCAATGCCATCTTGTTGTGTGAATCCCTTAGCTACTAAACGGGCTTTATATCGATCTATTGTGTTCAGAATGTCTTTTGATACGAAAAATTCACTTGTTGCCAATAATATTTGTACCTGCAGGTTTGGGAACTAAAGTCCATGTATTGTTTTCAAGGAGTGCATTGAACTCTTTGGTCATAGCATCACGCCATTGAGAAAAAGGTTGGACTTGAATAAAGGTATTAGGTTCAGTTTGAAGAAAATCAATTTTTCGAACAACAGAATTAGCTTGTCTCTTATGCATAGTGGAAGGACGAAGGGTCATGGGATGAGTTCGAGGACAAGGTTGTGAAGAAGTATTTTGATTGGATTGACCGGCGGTGGAAGCATAATTTGATGAATCAACGTGAAGAGGGATTGGTGGAATGTTAGTAAAAGAGGAAGGATTCAAAACATAAGTAACAATATCAAGATTTTGTGGTGGAGAAGATATGATAGGTGGCATTGGTTGATTAGTATTAGTGGGACTATGTAAAGTAGAGTTGGACACGTTTGGATTAGATAGAATTGAACTAGGAGTGAGTGGTAGAAGATTGGAATTTAAATTTGCTGGAAAAGCATTAGTAATATTACCATTATTTTCAAAAGAAAACGTACCTGGTGCTACTTGAAGACCACCGGAAACAGTGTGTGTTCCAAGTAAAGTAAGTAATGGTGTGGAACCATTTTCCTTTGGTGAATTGTACACGAGAAATATGATGGAACAAAAAATGCTTATCATGAAATTTGGCATGACGAGCTAAATAAAATTTACCCGAATTAGGATCAAGACAATGATAAGCAGCATGATTAGGACTCTGACCAAGATAAACACATGATTAAGTACGAAAATTAAATTTATTTTTGTTATATGGCCGAAGTAGAGGAAAAATGGTACAGCCAAAAGTTTTTAATTCTAAGTAGTTTGGATGTTTTTGAAATAATATGGAATATGGGGATGTTTGATTGGTGACAGGAGAAGGCATAAGATTAATTAATTGAACACTTGTCTCAAAAGCATAGTGCCAATATTTAAAAGGAATTGAGGCATGAGATAAAAGAGTGAGTCCAATGTCAACTACATGTCGAATTTTTCTTTCTGCTGTGTCATTTTGTTTGTGTGTATAAGGACATGCAATACGATGTTGTATGCCATAAGTTTGGAAATATTTGTGAAGCTTTTGAAACTCACCACCCCAATCTGAATGAAAGGACTTAATTTTGGAATTGAATTGACGCTCAACAATTTTCTCAAAATTAAGAAATAATTAAAAGACATCACTTTTATTTTTCATGAAAAATATCCAACAAAAACGAGTGAAATCATCAACAAGAAGAAACATGTAACGATGTCATAAACAAGATAGCATTGGAGCTGGACCCCAAACATTAGCATACATAAGATCAAAAGGAGATTTGCTTTTATGTGGAACTGGAGCTAATGGAGTTTTACATAGTTTGCCTAACAAACATGAAGAACATGGTGACATTGAAGAAGATGAAACTGGAAGTTGAAAATTATTGACAATCTTAGAAACAGTCCTAGTGTGGGGGTGACCTAGACGTGAATGCCATTCATCCATGGTTAACCGATCCACAACACAGGCTTGCTTTATTGGACTCGAAAATTTGCACACACCATTTTCACTGGGTCCCTGAAGTAGAACCTTCTTGGTAACCTGATCCTTAACAACAAAAAAAAGAAGGCCAGAATTCAAAAAAATAGGAATTGTTATTTGTGAATTTTTGGACAGATAATAAATTTTTAATAACAGATGAAACACGAAGAATATTTTTGAGCTTTAAAGAATCTAAAGGAGATGGAATAGATGCTATACCAGTATGTGTTATTGGCAAACCTTTACCATTACCCACATGAAGTTGATCAGTTCTTTTATATTCATCCGCAGTACTTGGAGCAGAAAGATCGGGAGTGACATGATAATTTGCTGCAGTGTCAGGGAACCATGAAACAGGCGGATTATTAGGCATAAAGGGATTCATATTAGCTGGTGGTTGCCCATAAGAGTGATAATTAGCTTGTGGATAGATATTAGGATGAGACTGGGAATTATTGGAGTTATATTTGTGACGACAACGGTCAGCAGTATGATTTGTAAGACCACAAATTTGGCATGATACTCTGGGTCTAACTCCATTGGATTGACGCCGGTAATTGTAAAAGATGTAAAAGATAGGTGGGCGATTTGGAGTAGGAAGAATAGATGCAATATTATTTGGTTTCATGACAATGTTGGCTTTAGGTGGCTCTTGTGAACTCTTGATTAAAATTTCATGTGCAACCAATTGCCCATACAATTCATAGAAAGAAACAGGTTTAGGTTTGAGATTCATGGAGCTAATGATTGAATGATACTCGGAACCAATATTGCAATAAATAATCGCATTCAATTCTGCAGAAGAAATGGGGCAACCAGCTGCTTGTAACTCATCAGCCAAAGTTTTTGCTTTATGGAGATAATCAGATACGGATAGATCATTCTTTTTCAATTCTTGCAATTCAATGTGTATTTGAAGTTGCTGATTTTGAGAAACGGAACCAAAGGCATGAGATAATGCCTTCCATACATCAAAAGATGAAGTTAAACTAGAAATATATGAAAAAATTTCTTCAGTTAAAGATAAGAGAATCCAAGATAGAAGCATTTGATCCTTTTCGAGCCAGAAATCATATTCAGGATTGGGAACAGAAATAGTGGACCCAACATTGGTGATAGTTTTTAGTGGTGCTAGTTTAGAACCATCAGTGTAGCCATGAAGTTTCTGGTAATTAAGCAAAGGAGTGAATTGCATTTTCCATGCAAGATAGTTTTTGGTGTTTAATTTGATAGAGAATGAATGTGAAGAGGTATGAGAAGAGGACATAGAATTGAAAGGGATGTTAATGGTAGATGTAGTGTTAGAGGAAGACATAATTGATAACTAATGAATGAATGTGAAGAGGTATGTAGAAGAGGGACATAGAATTCTGTTAAAGGCGAATGTTAAATGGTAGAGTGTAGTGTCTAGAGGAAGACATAATTGATAACTAATAGATGGTTTATAGCTCTGTACCATGAAAAGAAAACTGCTCAAAATGCTATTGTAATTTTTTCTGTGTTTTCCATAATACAGCAGAAGCAGGATTTATACAAGAATTACACTGAAATTCCCTAGGTAAACTAGGCCTGCACCTTAAACCTGAAAGATTAACAAAATCCAAAGATTAAGTTCAAAATACAAAGAAATAATTTGGAATATATAATTCTGTTAGTATATGGCCTAATCCTTTTTTGGGCCAGTTAAATATCCTGTTACTTGACTAATAAGATGTTCCTTAATGACCCTAAATAAAATTGCCAAAACCAAGATAAAAGAGTATTACCTTCCAATCAAGTGGATAAAAATTCAAAAGAAATCCTCTAGAAGCTACCTGGAAGCATAATGCTTACTCCTTTTGGCCAGTAAATATCCTGTTACTTGACTAATAAGATGTCCTTAATGACCCTAAATAAAATTGCAACAAGATAAAAGAGTATACCTTCCAATCAAGTTGGATAAAATTCAAAGAAATCCCTCTAGAAGCTCTGGAAGCATAATGCTTACCTGTTGTCAATTTTGATTATTGTTATTGATTTAAAATAATTATTAACATAGATTTCAAGTTTTGGTCTTCAACAAAAATAAAATAGTTCAACATGAATTCTAGGAGTCGCTCCAAATTTAGCTTAATGCAACAAAAGATTTTATGGTTTTGAATCTTGTGAACAAAGCATGGTTAGGTGAGTCAATAACTGGGAGCTGTTGAACCTTTTTTTTTCTTAAAGGAGAGCATTATTACTCAAACCTACAACTTTTACTGAAATTCCCCATCCTCAAAACCATCTAAGCTAGGTCCAGTTGGCAGGCAGATAAATCTTAGTGTGGCCATGCAGTTTGAAGAGGAATTTAGAGTACATTCTCTCTTTTTAGTTGGTTGGAATAATATGTTGTCTTAAGGGCTACCACTATTTGCTTTTAACTAAATAATAAAAAAACTGATGGAATTCTTAAGAGCATGTTTGTTCAATTCAATTTGGTTAATGTTTGATAATTGAATTATTTGGTTATTAATCAGAATAACAAGGGCTGATTTTTATTTTTTTAATTGATGACGGACAAAAAAACTGGTGAATTACAATCCAAACTATTTATTAGTGTGCCTTGCTTGAGTAAGGCCAAGGGAGAAATTATATTCAAGTGTACTTTCAAATGTTTTACCACCATTCACTCTTCTATGAATAGTAGGGATTCTTATTATTTACACCTCCTGTTCATAGATTAAAAACCATTTTGAGAAGTTGAAAACCATTACATTTGCAAGTACCTCATGAGCTGGTTTGTATATTGAACTTATAATTGAATAAGGTGATTAATTTGTTGTTTTATTAGCAAGCTTTAGGAAGAAGACAACCTTAATTTTGTTTCCATGCAAATCTTGTTGTATCACCAAATGGCCTTTTGGCAAGATGATGGTTCTACAAAAACTTATAAGATCGTTAATAAGTAATAAATATTGAGTAGAATATTGTTCTCTTGAGGATTGGTTTTGAGTATTGAACTATTGTGATTCCCCTACTGTTTTGATTCTCACACACACACACACACACACACACACACACACATATAATTTTAGAAGGCTAATTAGGGTTGCATTCTTATTGGAGCTTTTGTTGGGTTTTTCCCATTTATATGGAAAAAAACCAAGAATTTTGTAAAGGTGGATTGTTATCCCAATCACCAGCCAAAAAAAATAAAAAAAGAAGAAAAAACAGCTTCATTCAAAAATAATTTTGAATGTCAATAACTTAATATTGCATTTCAAATATTGCTATTGCCTAATTTATTTGCTGATAACTTTATATATGAAATATGACTGGGAAATTACTGTTTCTTTTGTATTAATGATTAGTTTAGATGTTTGATGTATAGATATGCTGTATTCTAGCTAAGCTATTGACTCGTGTCATTTTGTTGATTATTTTCAATAAATTCATGATAACTTCAGCTAACTTTTGCAATTGTGACTGCAATACGACTTAAAAGTTATTATGTGATAGCACTTTTGGGCAAAGTTGCGGAAATGACATTGTTCATTTGATGAGCAACGCGAGAAAGGATGCATCATCCAATTCTTTTTCTGAAAGACCTATGATGTTTATAAAGATGATTTGATATCTTTTTTCTATATATGTTAATTTTCAGTCGATTAATAAAGGATTTTGATGTTCACTGCAGTCAAAGAAATCAAGGCGCAGACTTAGAAAACCTTCTACTGTGCCTGTAGCTTATGCCAAAGTTATGAAGAAACTTAATTTCTGTGGTTAAATCTGTGACATGCATTCTGCCAGTCATCTTAAGGAGATAGGGAATACGTTTTCAGAGCAGAGTTTTGTGGCTAACAAAATTTTGCTGCAGATGTTCAGAGCAGTATTTTTGAACATTTTTGCCTTTCAATCTCGGTCAATCTTACCTCCAGACGGCGGCTTATGTTAGTCTTTTAGCACATCTGTTTGCTTATGGAATAACAAGAAATTGTACTTTGTAATAATTTTACAATTCAGTTATCAAATTACCATAGTTTTGGATTTTACCCTTGGTTTTGAGATTAATATTAATTAAATTTTAAAATTTTGAAATTTTAGAATTTATACATGATTAATGAAATTACTTAATTCATTAGTATTTTTGATTTACAAAATTATTGTGAAGTCACCATATGAGTATTGGGACTGGGAGTCCAATAACTTTATTGGCCATTTAAAGGAGTAATAAATTTTGCCTCCCTAAATTTGGGAGCAATGTTTGAAAATAAATTTTTTATATACCCTTTGAATTTGCACCATAGTCAATCTTTTACAAAATAAAAGTAAAAGATTTGTTTTAAATCAAATATAATTAAAAAATAATTAAGTATTAAATTTAAATTAAATATACTAAAAATGGTTAAAAAAATAATAAATATTTTTCAGACTAAATATTCAATATAATGAAATATTTTTCTAATTCTATAATTTTATTAAAAAAGTATTTCATTTAATTATTTTTTAAATCAAAGACGAAACTGCAATTTTTTTATAATTATTTTTACCTTTTTAAATAATTTGTTGTTTCATAATTTTAAACTTATCAAAAGAATTTTATTAGTTAAAAATATAAAAAATATATTTTTTTTATAAAAAATTGGGCTTTTTGTTGTTCTACTGCAAATTTAGAGGGTAAATTATACAAAAAGTTAATTCTTTGAGTAAATTTTATACAAAATGTTTGAATATTTAAAAAGTTGGAATCTTAAAAGTTAATTCTTACCTATTGCAGCATTTACATCATCGAAACTTATCTCGGTCACTTTCATTAGGACTAGTCAATCAATTTGAATCAAAATCTCTTCACCCATTTTCAGCGAAAAGGTAAAGATTTTGTGACAGTGACATTCTTTCTAAAGAAATTCTTGTTACGTTGCCATGGATGATTGATAAGGAGGAATTTTCTATGATTATCAAACCAAGTTTGCTTCCCTCCTCTCGGAAGTGTGATAGCATCAGTACTTTCCATGCAATAAGGACATGCAAGTCTTCCTATCATACTTCAATCAGAAATCATTGCATGTACTGGGAAATCACTTACTGTCCATAATAAAGCTACTCGCATAATAAAATTTTGTTTCATTGATACATCGTAAGTCCCAACTCCCATGTCCCACAACTGCTTCAATTCAGCAATAAGAGGTTGTAGAAAAACATCAATCTTGAACTTTGGATTGATAGGACTCAAACTGAAGGGGAGACAATACCTCCTATTGAAGATGCAGAGTTATTTCTGCAGGCTGTAGGAGGTTGTAAAGCCGCAGGTGTATGGGATTGGCAACGAGGCTAGCTAGTTCTATATGCAGACTGGATTTAACTCACAGAGTGCTAAATCCACTACAGGGACATTTTCAGTGATTCTTGAGACATTAGCCAAGCGACATGCAGCGCTAGAGCGACTCATCTTGCAACAATCACAAATGATTGACAAGATGAATCAGATGCTAGGCAATCAACACCAACCAAGGCTACCACATCTTCTGCGCAAGTACAAACCCTTCTAACCGGCAATCATATCATATTTCTCCCTCACATGTTGCAAGTCATGTTTCCGAAGCTGGGCATGCTGTCGAAGGCGTTCGAACCGTATGGAATGGAATGACTCTCATTTAGATTCCGTTCCATAAAATTTTGATATTTGAAATTACATTCCATTCCAAGTACTTTTTGGAATTTAAAGTTTTATTCCATACCATTCTATTAAAAGTTGGTAGTTCTAAATTTCTTAACCATAAATACAAATCTAACATATTATGACATTTTTTAAAATGTAAATTTGTTAATTTAATAAGGAATAATCACCATATTTTTATATAAGCATACTAAAAGATGTAATTAAATTTTTAAAAATAATAAATTAATATCACATATAACTAAACATTTTAATCTTACAGATTTACAGATAGAAAATATACTTTACCTTTAATATTTAATAATTCAGTTCATATAATTAACAGTTTAATAATTAATAATAATATTATAAAATCAACAAAAGATAATATCATTCATATTAGGTATATCAATATATGTAGTCACCATCTCCATTAAAAAGCGTTAAATCCACAAAAAAATATATATCATGAGTTTAAGCATACTAAAATATTTCAAACTATATAATCTAATAAAAAGTAAGATATGATAACTAAAATCATAATTTTTAAACCAAGAAAGTATATATGAGGATTTAAGCATATAGTATGTATTAATTACAAATTAGGGTTAGCACTATTAAATTTCAAATTAAATAGAAGTTTTCTTAAAAATATAAAAAATTAAAGATATTTTATTCTAATCTTTAATTTAATATTTTATTTTAAAATATAAAATTACAAACTAAAGAATAATAAAATAAAAATTCGATGTATGGATTGGAATATAAAATTTTATTTTTTATTTCTACTTCATGCTCCATATACCAATATTTTAAAAGTTATATTCTATTTTAAATTCTGTATTCCAAAATTCCATTCCAAATTAACTTTTGGTTTGGAATTTCGATTTGGGTTAGAATATTCCGATCTAAGTAACACTCCTAGGCTTGAGGACCACTGAGACAGACTGATGATGTTTAGACACATTAGTTGGTCTTCACTTTCTTTTCTTTTTCTTTGTTTTGTGTTAGGATTTCCATTATATGGTTCATTAAGTTTTTATGTTTTGTGCATTTTAATTTGAAAAATGGTATAAATTGCTTGCTAGTGTGATATATATGCATTGTTGATTGTGGAGCATTTAATTGTCATGAATTTGCAAATATAGATTTCTTATTTAATACTGCTTTTTAACATAATTTTTGAAATAAATCAGATTTTACAAATTATTTTTTTAAATTAATAATATTTTACCAACGGATTACCATCCATTTATTGACAAAATTTTATTTTTTTAAAAAATAATATTTAAATTTCCCGATGGATTGCCGACCGGTTCTAAATTGTATCGACAACAAAATATAGAATTTATGAAAATGAAATAAATAATTACTACGATTCCCCAATAGATTACTGACAATCTAACAACGGTTCTACAACAAGATACCGACGGAATACCAACTACATCAACCACCATTTTTCAATCAAATTTACTAATGAAATTTACTATTTTACTGATGGATTTGTAATATCCCTTTCCGGTCCACCCGTTAACCCGAATGAACCGAATCGAGATGCTATAATCTGGTTGAACCTTGTCCTATCAGGCTGATATCCTTATGTATGTTGCATCATATATCATGCTGTTACTTACTACATTAGTAAAATATAGATATGTACTTACGATTTACAAGACATTATACTAGTTTTCAAAATGAAATGAGCCCAGCTGTGTGCTCTGTACATGCCATGATAAGAATAGACAGAACCAAAATATCAAAATGAGTAGCTACCCTGAAGACTTTGTCTTCCAAAGATGAACTACAGCAATTGTAAGCTGACTCTCTATGGTCCAGTCCCAAAACCTACGAGTTAAACAAATAACTCGCTGAGCAATGAAAACTCAGTGGATATCTCAACGTATAAAGAAACATGTAAGCACACATATATGTATAAATAAACATGTAAGCACTGTAACGTCCCATTTTTCTATTGAATCGTTCTATTGAATCGAGTCGGTTGCTTAGAGAGTCGAGTCGGGCTGATCAAAACCCCAGTTCCGAGCCATTAGGAGTCTAGGCAGTTGGGCTAGAACATGAAATTAAGGAGAAGAAGTGGACTTACTTGAAGGAACAAAGATCAAAGCTAATAAGGATTAGACTTGCTTGCACTTAAAAGTATTAAAGCTTGAGTACGGAGTTGTACCATTTTGACACTTAGGTACCATTTTGAGGTTAAATTTCACATCAAAAATCCATGATAGTCTAAGAGACTTACCTGCTGAGTTCCATTTCATTTTTCATTTCTTCATAATCCTATATTCTTCATCTTCTTTTCCTGCTACTTTCCTCTTCCACTTTCCTTTCCTCATCACTTTTAATGTAGTGAAGATGTTTAATTGGGATTCAAACAGTTAATTATGGGAGTTAAGCATTAATTCAACTTCTATTCTATCCAAGTAAGTAAACCTTCTTGAATTTCATACTTGAATCATTTGGTGATATTTTTTTTAGATGGTTCATAAGAATTCTCATGTATAGGAGAGGTGAGCTTAAAGGTAGAAGAAAAAGGAAGCTAAGAAGAAGATTTCAAGCTTGTTAAGCGAAGGTGTGATAGCTCTTTTCATTTACCATTTTCTTTGCATGAGAAATTGTGTGGTGTATTGCTAATGAGACAATATTGCTTCATGTTGAGTGGGAGGACTGGTAATGGTGAGAAAACAGGGGAGGTATTGAATAAATGAAGTAAATATTGAGTTTGTGAGTTTATGCTGAAACAGGGGCAGGGGAGAGTTTATGCTGAAACAGGGGAGTTACTGGTACTGGAAATTTTACCAGTAACTTCATCTTGATTTTGACCCCATTTAATGATGGAATTAGGAAGTGTCGTAGAAGAGTTATTTGTTCCTCTACGTGTTAGCTTTACATGGGTTTTTGAATCATTCAAATCGGAGTTGTATATTGAGAGATATGATCAAAAGAGTACAGACAGTGCAGGCTGGAAAACGCCACGCGCGCGCGCGCGAATTGCATGAAGAGCTCGCGACTTGTGCCTGAAGCTCACTGACTCTCCTGACTCTCATTTGGCACATCTCGCGCTCGCGACTTTGTACTGCGCGCTCGCGACTTGTGCTCGCAACCTCACTGCCTCTTATTTGGCACTTCTCGCGCTCACGACTTTCAAGTGCGCGCTCGCGACTTGGCCCTTGGCCTGTAAGCGCTCGCGACCTTCATTGCACGCTCGCAAATTTGGCCTGGGAACTCACTGTCTCTCATTTTGCATTCTACGCGCTCGCAACTTTGAAGTACGCGCTCGCGACTTGTGCCCGATAACTCACTGTCTCTTATTTTGCACTCTACGCGCTCGCGACCTTGCAAGGCGCGCTATGGCTCATGCGACTTGTGTTTTCATGCACT